GGGCGGGCGGGCGGGGGATCGGTCTGACAGGGAGAGGCCCTGCCCGTAACTCTGGTGAGGGGTTCCCGCCGCCGCCGCTCTGGACCGAAAAGTTGTGTAGCAGAGTGAGTTTGCAAGCCTAACTCCAAATTCGTGTTTGTTAGCCTAAATAGTGATGAACGGCTTAACAGGATCGAGGATTTTTACCTTGTTATTTGGTAGCGCTGGCATTGGTTCCTTGTGTAGTTTGCTTTCAGCATTTTGTAAAGCCTTAATCCTAGGAATCTTCTAGTTACCCATTAGTTTATATTTTATGGGTGGGTTTTGATCCACTGTTAATACACTTCATTTTTAGCCTTATTAGAGAAACAGGTTCAGCTTTGGTAATACGTCTATTTAGCGTTAAAAAAAAAAAAAAAAAAAACAAACAAAAAGCTAATTTGCCCTGTTACCTTTTACAAGCTGCATCATTCTGTATTGTATTCTTTCTACTGACCGCACTGTATTTTTTTTTTTTAACTGGGGGTGTTTTATTTCTTGGTTCCCCTCAAGGTCTTCATTTAGCATCAACTACAGCCAGTCTCAAAACTGAGACTGAAGTGGACACAAGTGAAAATGAGGTTGTTGCCCCAGACTTCACTAACAGGAATCCTCGGAACTTGGAGCAGTTGGCCCTGGCTAGGAAGGAGCGTGGCTGGAAGACAACATGGCCAAAGCGTGAATTCTGGCATAGGTGAGTCAGAAAGTCACTGGCAGAAATTAAGACTCCAGAGCAAATTAAAAAAAAAACAAAACAAAAAAAATCCCAAACAAACAAAAAAAACCCACCCAAAAAAAACCAACAAACCCACCAGGTGGAATTTCTACAAAATGCACTTTTTGGGTTGTTGAATCAGTTGCTCCCTTAGCTGTTCTTAATTAACAGTTGTCTTCTGTGGTCAGAGAACACTAGGCGAGCATCACGTGAAAGTTAATGTATGTGCTGAAGACCTATTGTTAAGGTAGCAGTAATATTGCTTAAGCAATGGCTTTTTAACTTAGGATTCTCCTAGTCCTGTGCTGACCATGCATCGTTATTTTACTTGAGGCACCATAGTAGTTTGTTGGGTTTTGTTGGTTCGGAATTTTTTTTGTTCTTGAAGGGAGAACCACGTCTAGTTTGTTCGTACCTGGAAATCTGATATTGTCTCGGTGCAATAGAAAATAGTTGCTCCTAACACTGTGGTTATGTGTTATGGTTTATGAAGTACTGCTTGACCACTTGCCAATCCTGACAAGTAAGCAGAAGCCTTTAAGAGACTGTGTAGCAAACCTAAGGTTACATTTCTGCTGGAGCAGTTCCCCTGATCTAGCCCATAAGCATCTGTACCGCACTGTGCATGTGTACAGTGCTTGGTTTGGAGTTAGTGCTGGTGTGAGGCAGCATAGGACTGTCACCTGCGCAACTGGTGAAAAGGTGAAATTTCACTCAGTTGAACTGGTCAAATGAGTCCTATTTTATGTTCTAATAAAGTAAGCAAAAACCTAGATAAGATAATAAAAGCAATGTTAAGAAATCATTGTTGTATTAATAGCTCCAGTACATTCAGTTTTATTTGAAGTGAGTCACTTATGCATTGAGGTGTGTGAATGTGTTCTCTCCCTAGATCTGGAAAAGGCATCACATCCTATGTTCTTTGTTTCCTTCACTCAGGTTACGCCTTGAGCGGACACAGCATTATGTAGAAGCCTTCGTTGAGCGCTGTAATGGGGATGTTGTAGTATCTGCCTCTACCCGAGAGTGGGCCATAAAGAGACACCTGTACAGTCCCAAGGGAGTATCAGCTTGCAAAAACCTTGGCCGTGTAATGGCACAGCGCTGTTTAGAAGCAGGAATCAACTTTGTGAACTTTAAAGCTGTTATACCCTGGGAATATCGTTGTGACTCGGCAAGTACCCATCTCCTGACACTTATTTAGCCTTTTGAAGCATTAGTTTTACTCCTCTTCACCTAGTTTTCTTATGTGGCCTGACAATTCCTTCTTGTGATGCTCGAAAGGGTAACTGACAAGCTGCAGTCCTGGCCGTATGTTTCAGTGAGGCTGTTAACCTCTGCCCCTCCACGTAACATGTCCCCACTGATATTTTGGTGCTGATGTTTTTTCTTTGTACTTACTTGTGTCTCTGTCTTTTAAACAAGATTCAGGAATTTGAAAAAGCAATGGAGGAGGGTGGTGTCGTCCTGCGTGAGCCACGAAGAATCTATCAGTAAAAGGGAGACCATTGGGAAAACTTTCCAGGGAGCAACAATGACTTCTTTAGGTGTGTGTACAGGCACAGTGAAGGTCCAGAGCTGGAAAAAGTTGAAATAGGGTATCTTACAATAAAATGTTTTTAAATGCCTGGAAATGTGTCACATTCTTGATGCTAAAATCCTCAACACCTTTCTTTTAAGCCTAGAATAAAGTGTTACAGTTCAACCTGACAGGCTAACAGAATTTACTTCAGAATTCAATAATTTTAAAGTATATTTTATTTTTTGTTTGTTTGTTTGAACCTGAACTCTTTGAAATGATTGCTCCATCTAGGTGGCCAGTCTAATTTAGCAGAATGCAGTCATTTATGTCAATGTTTAGACTTTATTATACATGCTAAACTTGATAAAAAGATTGAATTCTCCTAACTCATCCCTGCAGCTTTCTTGCAACCCTTACATTCTAATTTCTTAAACTGAGGAGAGAAGCCACCCAAACGCCAGCTG